TCAGCTCTTCAGCTCAAGGCGAGCGCTCTACCACTTGAGCTACAGCGCCACTTCCGGTTTTCTGGTGGTTTATTGGAGATAGGAGTCTCATGGTCTCTCCTGCCCGGGCTGGCTTTGAACCGAGATCCTCAGATCTCAGCCTCCTGAGTAGCTAGGATTACAGGCGTGAGCCACCAGCGCCCGGCTCCTGAGTTGTTTTTCTAATGACTTATTCCACAGGCCAGAGGCTCATGTAAGCATCCAAAGAATACTATGTGTTCTGCAACTGTGCAGTCCCATTTACCTAATTACAACAAGGCCAAGGACTTGTATATGCTGAATCACACTAGAATCCTTAAAAGTGTCTATACCTGGGGAAGAAGATACTCTCTACCACGTAGAAGTCTTGCATAAGGACATCCCGCTCTGGTTTGGTACTCAGGCTTCCCACTGTGTGAGTAATGCCTAACTGGATGGCACCTTTCAAAGCTGATGAGGTTGTCTAATAAACAGAAAAGAAACAAGGAAATTATTTTCAGTCTTTTCCCTCTATCCCTTTCTTCCCTTTTTGGTCCTGGGGTTTAAACTCCTCGCATTGCACTCTTACCTGGGGTGTGTGTGTGTGTGTGTGTTGGTCCTGGGGCTTAAACTCCTCGCATTGCACTCTTACCTGGTGTGTGTGTGTGTGTGCATGCCAGTCCTGGGGCTTGAGCTCAGGGCCTGGTTGCTGACCCTGAACTTCTTTTGCTCAAAGCTAGTATTCTATCACTTGAGCCACAGCTCTACTTCCAGCTTTTCTAGTGAATAACTGGAGGTAAGAGTTTGATACACTTTCCCATCAGGGCTGGCTTCAAATCTCCATCCTCAGCCTTTACTCACCTGAGTAGCTAGGATTATAAGCATGAGCCACTGGTGCCTGGCTTCACCTGGCTTTCTTATATCATAACTGGTGCTCTACTACTGGAACCATGCGCATCTCCAGCCCATGTTTTTTTTTTTTTTTTTGCTGTTTTGCTTTTTATCTGGAGATGAAATGTATTGAAAACTTTTCTACCCAGGCTGGCTTCCATCTAAATCTCAGCTTCCTGAGTAAATAGAAATACTGGTGTTATCGATGACCAGGTATGAAAATTTCATTATTAAGTCTGATCAAGGGCTGGGAATGTGGCTTAGTAGTAGAGTGCTTGCCCAGAATGCATGAAGCCCTGGTTTCAATTCAAGCCCCAGGAGGGGGGGGGGGGGGGGGAGTCTGATCACAGCAATAAGCAGTCAAGAGGGACAGGTGCCAGTGACTCGTGCCTATAATTCTAGCTACTCAGGCTGAGACCTGAAGACTAAGGGTTAAAGTCAGCCTGTGCAGGAAACATCTGGGAAACTCAATCTCCAATTAATTAGTAAAAATGCCAGACTGGAGGCACACCTCAAGTGGTTCATTAATTAGTAGTATAAATCTCATGGACTGTTGTGCCTGGGCTAAATTCAAACTCAGATCTTCAAATCTCAGATTCCTGAAGCTAGGATTATAGGTATGAGCCACTGGCTCTATGCCTCACCTGCTTCTAATCTATTGTATTACCACACTAGAATCTGCTTCTAATCTATTGTATTACCACAGTAGAATCTGAACTTTACTTCACAAGCATTTAATGATAAAGGACAACAGAAAGTCTTCAAGAAAAAGTGGGGGAGAAGAGAGACTTCAGGAAACATAGTCCCCTATGTAAGAATGGCCTTTAGGGCCTAGTTACAAGTTTATTCCTATAAATAAAATCCATTTTTGTTATTGTTGTTGTTGGTTGGTTGTGGGGCTTGGACTCTGGGTGCTGTCCCTCAGCTCTTCAGCTCAAGGTGAGCCCTCTACCACTTGAGCCACAGTGCCATTTCTGGTTTTATGGTAGTTAAGTGGAGATAAGAGTCTCACCAACTTTCCTGCCTGGGCTGGCTTTGAACTGCAATCCTCAGATCTAGCCTCATAAGTAGCTAGGATTATAGACATGAGCCACTGGCGCCCCTCAAAATCCAATTTTTTTCTTTTTTTAAATTTTTTGCCAGTCATGGGGTCTGAACGCTGGGCCTGGGCACTGTCCCTCAACTCTTTAGCTCAAGTGTAACACTCTACCACTTGAGCCACAGCACCCTTCCAGCTTTTTTTCTGCTTATGTGGTACTGAGGAATCGAACCCAGGGCCTCATGCATGCAAGGCAAGTACTCTACCACTGAGCCACCTTCCCAACCCCTCCAATTTCTTAAGCTCAGTAAAACAGCAACCAATGTTAGGTTTTTTTCATTAAGAACATTCTTGCCAGACACAGGCTGAGATCTGAGAATCGAGATTCAAAGTCAACCCAAGAAAACAAATTTGAGTTACTCTCAAATAAAACATAGAAGTAGAGATGTGGCTCAAATGATAAGAGTGGAGCCTTCAGCAAAAAAAGCCAAGGAAGAGCATAAGGCCCCGAGTTTAAGCCTCAGTGGCAGCATACATACACACAAACAAAATATTCTCATCTAGGGCTAGGAATATACCTCAGTGGCAGAGTATTTGTCCAGAAAACACAAGCTCCTGGGATCCATTCCCAGAACTACAAAAGACAAAGAACATTCTCCTTTAAACATATAGATGATAGATAACAATCTATCCTTTCTGAAATAAATTCTAAAGTCCAAGTTATAAAATGATTATTTTTCAATGGCCTAGGATATCAAGAAATAGGGGTTATATGGCTGGTTACCAGTGTCTCACATCTGTAATACTAGTTACTCAGGAAGCTGAGATCTGAGGATCTAAGTTCTTTCTTGCCAGCCCAGGAAAGGAAACACCATGAGACTCTTATCTCCAACCACAAAAAGCTAGAAGTGGAATTATGGATCAAGTGGAGCACTAGCATTGAGGAAAAAAAACTCAAGGACAGTATCCCTGTTCTGAGTTCAAGCCCAAAGACTGGCACAAAAAAAAAAAAAGGAAGGAAGGAAGAAAGGAAGGAAGGAAGGAAGCAAGCAAGCTGGGCACCAGTAGCTCATGCCTGTAATTCTAGCTGCTCAGGAAGCTGAAATCTGAGGATCACAGTTCAGAGCCACCCTAGGTAGAAAAATCCATGAGACTCTTATCTCTAAATAAACTGCTCAGAAAAGTCTGGAAGTGGTGCAGTGGTTCAAGTGGTAGAGTGCTAATTTGAGTACAAAGAGTCATGGGGATAGTGCCTAGTCACTGAGTTCAAGCCCCTGGACCAGCCAAAAAAGAAAGAAAAGAAAAGAAAGGGTATATATGCAGAAGAATATCAAGCCAGGCACTGATGGCTCATGTCTGTAATCCTAGCTACTCAGGAGCTGAGAACTGAGGATTGTAGTTCAAAGCCAGCCCAGGCAGGAGAGTCAGTAAGACTCATACCCAATTAACCACCTGAAAACCAGAAGTAGAGCTGTGGCTCAAAGTGGTAGAGCACTAGGCTTGAGCAAAAGAGCTTAGGAACAGCACCCAGGCCCTGATGTTCAAGTCCCACTACAAAAATAAGTAAATAAAAAAATATAATAATACTATCAGTATTTGTCCCTGAATTGAGAAATAAGAAGGTTCCATTCAGACCTACCTTTTTATATGTTGTCTCTCCTGAGGGATCAACCCCCCTGTGGCCTATTTTCTTGCTGGACACACTAGAGGTATAAGGCACCTAGAAAAGAAGAGTTAAGATTAACATATGATTTCCATGTTAATATAATAAACAGGAATATTGACAGCTCATCACAGCAAAAGTTTTCAATCAAGACATTCTTTCTATATGAAGAAAATTTTATAAATACTTTTTAGAAGTCCCACTCTATGAAAACACAAAACACCCTATGGAATCCACAAAAGCAAAACAGACAACAGGTATAGTGGTCCATGCCTGAACCCCAGCACTCAGAGGCTAAGGCAGGAAGTTGGCCAATTCAAGGTTAGCTTGAGTTACATAGCTAGCAAAACAATATCTTAAAAAAAAAAAAGAGCTGGGCACTGGTGGCTCACACCTATAATCCTAGCTCCTCAGGAGGCACTATAGATCAAAGTAGTAGAGCACTAGCCTTGAGCTAAAGAGTGCAGGGACAGCACCCAAGCCTAGAGTTCAAGCCCTACCACTGACCAAGAAAAAATAAAAAGAGGGGCAAATCAAAAAATTTCAAGGGTACCTTTCTTTTTTTTTTTTTAGCTGATCATGGGACTTGGGCACTGTCCCTAGCACTCAAGGCTAGCACTTGAGCCAAAGAGCTCAGGGACAGCACCCACTCAGACCCAGAGTTCAAGCCCCATGACCAACCCCCCCCTCAAAAAAAAAATGTCTCAAGCCGGGCGCCGGTGGCTCACGCCTGTAATCCTAGCTACTCAGGAGGCTGAGATCTGAGAATCGCGGTTCAAAGCCAGCCCGGGCAGGAAAGACCATGAGACTCCTATCTCCAATAAACCACTAGAAAACCGAAAGTGGCGCTGTAGCTCAAGTGGTAAAGCACTCGCCTTGAGCTGAAGAGCTGAGGGACAGCGCCCAAGCCCAGAGTTCAAGGCCCACGACTGCCAAAAAAAAAAAAAAAAAACTGTCTCATGGAGGGGCATAGGACTAGTCTGAGATCTCTGATATCAAATGCAGGATCCAAGAGGTGAGAAGTATGGGGAAACTACATGAGGAGAAAATAAAACAAACAAGATATTCTTCACAGAAAAGAGAAACTTGGAAAATTAACAGGCTTCTTTTGATCAAAATAAACTATCATGGACTAGGAATGTAGCTTAGAGGTTGAGTGCTTGCCTACTATGCATGAAGCCCTGGGTTCAATTCCGCAGTACCACATAAACAGAAAAGGTTAGAAGTGGCACTGTGGTTCATGTAGTAGAATGCTAGCCTTGAGTAAAAGAAGCTCAGGGACAGTGTCCAAGCCCTGAGTTCAAGTGCCAGAACTGGTCAAAATAAATAAATAAATGAATAAATAAATTGATCACAAGGCACTGGTGGTCCATGCCTGTAATCCTACTCAGGAGTCTGAGATCTGAGGATCATAGCTCAAAACCAAGCCAAACAGGAAGTCCATGAGACTCTTACCTCCAATTAACAACCAAAAAGCTGGAAGTAGAGCCCTGGCTCAAGTGGTAGAACTTGAGCTAAAAAACTAAGGGACAGCATCCCAGCTCTGAGTTCAAGCCCCAGTACCAGCACATGTGTGCGTGCATGCATGCACATGTGCAAGTGCATACCCACACGTTGATCCTATAAACTCAACATACACAAACAACAGACAGTAACAGCAATGTAAGACTATTGGACTATCTGGATTTTAATCCTCATCTTTAACAAGCTTTTATAGGAACTTGAGAAAGTTATACAATCTGAAATCCTCACTTCATAGGTTAAAACATTAATAACAGTACTTGTTTGTAGGATTAAGTAACATCTATAAAGAACACTTATACTCTCTGAAGAGTATATACTCTTTGCCATACATTGAATATGGTACATTAAGAAATATTCAAAATTTTATTTTTTATGAACATTAACAATATTTCTTATTCATTGAGTTCTGCTTGATATCAGGGTCTGGGAATTGTCTCTTAGCATATTCACTCAAGACTAATACTCTACCACCTGAGCTATAGCTTCACTTCCAACTTTCTAGTAGTTAACTGGAGACAGTCTTATAGACCTTCCTGTCCAGGCTGGTTTTAAACAGAGATCCTCAGATTTCAGCCTCCTAAGTAGCTAGGATTACAGGTATGCCCAGCTTTAAGAGAGTGAGTGGAGAGAGAGAGAATGTCCTAGGCTTGAACTTAGGCCTGGGTGTTGTCACTGAGCTTTTTTGCTCAAGACTAGTACTCTACCACTTGAGTCATAGCTGCACTTCCAGCTTTTTGGTGGTTAAATGGAGATAAGAGTCTCATGGACTTTCATGCCTGGTCTGGCTTTGAATCATCATCCTCAGATCTCAGCCTTTTGAATAGGATTACAGTTGTGAGCCACAAGCACCCAGACAGTTTTTTTTTGTTTGTTTGTTTTGATAGGTCATGAGGCTAGAACTCAGGGCCTGGGCACTGTCTCTAAGCTTTTTCACTCAAGGTTAGCACTCTACCACACTAAGCCACCGCGCCACTTCCAACCCAGACAGCTTTGAGTATTTAATGTATCAAATGCAGAGTGTAAACAATTTCCAGAATTACCCAAAGGATGAAAGAATGTGATCTAGAACTGGGGGTATAGCTCAAGTAGTACAGTACTTGCCTAGCATGCACAAGGACCTGGTTTGATCCTAACATCCCCCCTCAAAAAAAAAAATCCTTTCTAACTTTCCAAGACCTAAGAATAGAGAAAATAAAGATATTGTAAACAGACCTCCCAGGATTAAAGTTTAGTAACCATGGTTACCAACATTCAACTCACCTCAGGTGCCAAGGGTTTCTTGATTCCAGGTGCTGCTGCTAAGAAAAAACAAATTTATGTGTATATATGTATATGTATATACATATATATATGTAATCATAAATGTATACACACACTGTCTATCAAGCACACCAAAAGCAGCAAGGTTTTAGTCAACTAAACAAAACAAAAAGCTATACTTCCTGTTCACTGGTATGAGATCCTTTTGGAAATCATTCTCTCCATACCTATGGAGGTACTATACATATTCCATTGTTATTCAATACCCCCCCTTCTTCTCCCTCTCCCCGCTCCCATCTCTTTTTTCTGGTCCTAGGGCTTGAACTCAGGGCCTGGGCAAAGCCTCTTTGTGCTTAGGCTAACTCCCTACCATTTGAACCACAGCACTACTTCTGGCTTCTTCTGAGTAGTTTATTGGAGATAAGAGTCTCACAGGCTTTTCTGGCCAGGCTGGCTTTGAGCCACAATCCTCAAATCTCAGCCTCCTGAGTATCTAGGATTATAGTTATAAGCCACTAGTGCCCAGCTAAGAGTACATTTGCTTTTGGACAACGTCCCCTGTGCCTGGTTCTTAACACATTTATGTTACCACTTAGAATCACTGCTTACCATGGTTGAAAGAGAAAGGGCTTGATACCCAAAATTCACTGGATATCCTATGGCCTGAGTAGTAATTTTTTCTTTTTTGGTTGGTGGTGCAGCTTGAACTCTGGGCTTGGGTGCTGTCCCTGTGCTCTTCAGCTCAAGGCAAGCACTCTACTGCTTGAGCCACAGTACCACTTCCAGTTTTCTAGTGGTTTATTGGAGATACGAGTCTCACAGACTTTGCTGCCTGGGCTGGGTTTGAACCATGATCCTCAGATCTCAGCTTCCTGAGTGGCTAGGATTACAGGCGTGAGCCACAGGCTCCGGGCTGTAATTTTTTCTTTTCTTCTCGTTTTGTTTTCTTTTTGTACTGGGGTCTACATTGGCCTCAAAATAACAATTCTTCCACTTAACCATCCCAAATACTGGGATCACAAGCATGTGATCCCAGAAACAATTTTTTTTCCCCCAGAGGTAGAAGAGTAAGAACTTTTAGCATTATCTACAGTGGTTTTTCTCCTGTATTTATTATTTTAGAAAATAAAAGATTTGATCTATGGTAGTAAGAAGGCTAAGGATGAGAAAATAGCATCAAAATAACTGAAAAGCATTTAATATAGGCAGAAATTTGAATCTACATTCCTACATTCCAATCTTAATTTCTGCTATGATCAGTAATTTTTTGGTGTTTAAGACTCACTTACAGCCGAGCATCAATGGCTCAAGCTTGTAATCCTAGCAACTCAGGAGGCTGAGATCTGAAAATCATCATTTGAAGCCAGCCCGAGCAGGAAAAGTCTGTTAAACTCTTATCTCCAATTCCAATTAACCACCAAAAAGCAAGAAGTAGAGCTGTGATTCAAGTGGTAGAGCACTGTTCTTGAGCAAAAAAAGCTCAGGGACAGCACTCAAGCACATATACACACAAAAGGCTGAGGTAGGAGTTAGAGGCATGGCTCAGTTGGTACAACACCAGCCAATGAGCAAAAGTGTTAGGCACAGAATTTGAGTCCCAGTCTTGGGCTACAAAAAAAAAAAAAGGCTGAGATAGATTGCAAGTTCAAGGCCAGCTTAAACAAATTAGTGGGACCCAATGTGAAAACAGTTTGTGTGTGTGTCAGTTCTGGGACTTATGCTCAAAGCCTTGTGCTTTTGCTCTTTTTACTCAAGGCTGGCACTCTATATTTCCATTTTCAGCTTTTGCTAGTTAATTGGAGATGAGCAAAAAAAGCCAAGTGAGCACATGAAGCCTTGAGTTCAAGCTCTAGTACCCCCCCACTCTCTCTTACACACACACACACCATAGCTATAGAAAATCCATTCAAAAAATTAAACTCCTAAAGATTAAATTCCTAAGGGTTTGGCATCCCACAACTTCCATTCATAATCATACTGGAAATATATGATAACTAAAAAACAGGCCTGAGCTGGGAAGGTGGCTCAGTGGTAGAGTGCTTGCCTTGCATGCATGAGGCCCTGGGTTCAATTCCTCAGCACCACATAAGCAAAAAGAAAAATGCCGGAAGTGGCGATGTGGCTCAAGTGGTAGAGCACTGGCCTTGAGCTGAAGAGCTGAGGGACAGCGCCCAGGCCCAGAGTTCAGGCCCCACGACTGGACCCAAAAAAAAAAAAAAAAAAAGAACTGTGCTCATTACCTTGCTCGTGTAACTGTAACCCCTCTCTACAGTACTTTCACAATAAAAAAAAAACTTACTAAAAAAGTTTAAAAAATAAAAATTACATGTTAAAAAAAGAAAATTTAAATATTTGTTTAAAATACTCTAAATATACACTATCATATTACATTCATGTCCATGATTCATATATATCATGTTCTAGATGGCAAACCAAATAAAAGGCAGAGCTAACATAATTTACTTTCCCTTAGAGGAAAATTTTGCTTCTGAGAATTTGGGGTCCTGCCTTTCCCCATCTAAGCTAAAACTGAAAAATTACTAAATATCTATCTACATTATTTCAATTCATACTTGGAAATATGGCAGAATTTTTTAGCCAAGGACAGTTACATGTATCGGTGGGAACATTTTTTCTGCCAAGGACATTTGGGTGTTGTTTTGTTTTTTTGCCAGTCCTGGGTCTTGAACTCAGGCCCTGGCTACTGTCCTTCAGCCTCTTTGTGCCCAAGGCCAGCCACTTGAGCCACACTGCTACTTCCAGGGTTTTTTTTTTAGTAGTTTATTGCAGATAAGATTCTCATGGGGACTTTTCTTCACCGGCTGGCTTCAAACTACTATCCTCAGATCTCTGAGTAGCTAGGATTACAGGCTTAACGTTAAGCCACCAGTGCCCATTTGAGTACTTCTAACATCATCTATTGGCCATACAAAATGGACAGCCAACAAGAACTATATGTATTCTCCCATCACATATTAAATGATTTTGAGGACCATCTACTGGAAGTTCTCCACCCATGTTCTTTATAATTCATAAGCTGATGGCTTGGCTATTAATGCTGCAGTAGGTCCCAGGCTAGCTGGTTCTTACTGGTTTTTTTTAAACTTTTGGGGGGCGGGGAGGAGAGTCTTGTACATGCTAAGCATATGCTCTACCACCGAGCTACATATTCAGTTCCTTTCTTGGCTCCATTTTTACATATCTCAGCCCAGTTTAACGTTGAGTTATTTCAGCTTTTTCCTCTATCAGGAACACACTACATTTCTCCTAATGATAACAATGTAACACTAACTACTATGCTGATACATTTTTTAGAAAGGTCCCCCCCCCTTTTTTTTTGTGCTAGTCCTGGGTTTGAACTCAGGGTCTAGGCACTATCCCAGAGCTGCTTTTGGTCAAAGCTAGTGCTCTACCACTTGAGCCACAGCTCCAGTTCTGGCTTTCTTGTAGCTTATTGGAAGTTAAGAGTCTTATGGACTTTCCTGTGTAGGCTGGCTGTGAACCACAATCCTCAGATCTCAGCCTCCTGAGCAGCTAGGATTACAGGCCTAAGCCACTACTATCTGGCTAAATTATTTCTTCTATGACCAAAGAACTTACATCTTTATAATTTTTTTTTTGCCAGTCCTTGGGCTTGAACTCAGGGCCTGGGCACTGTCCCTGAGCTTGTTTTGGCTCAAGGCTAACACTCTACCAGTTGAGCCACAGCGCCACTTCCAGATTTTTCTGTTTATGTGGTATGAGGAATCAACCCAGGGCTACATGGACACTAGGCATACTAGGCAAGCACTCTACCACGCCACCTCCCCAGCCCTGTATGATATTTTAAAAGTACACAAATATTTCTCATTTAGGCTCTTAAAACAATACTATTAGGAGTAGGAGCTATTTCAATCAAGGACTTAAGAAACACATCTACCAGGCTGTGTACTATAAGGATTGAGGTTCAAAGCCAGCCCAAGCAGGAAAATCTATGACACTCTTATCTCCATCCAATTGACCACCAAAAAGCTGAAAGCGGAGCTGTGGCTTAAGTGGTACAACACTAGCCTTGAGCAAAAAAGCTCAGTGAGAGTACCAGGCCCTGAGCTTAGCCCCAATACTAGGATGAAAGGATGGATACAAGGACATACAAACACAAATCAGGTAACATTTTTTCATGGATCAGAGTGTCATATAGAGCCAATCATGGCAATTTAGATCTTCTGCAGAAAGAATTCAAAAGACAAAAAGAGTGAGGGTGTATTCATTTTGGGAATTTTTTTTTAAACTCTGGCCAAGATATGTAGGCTGATTAATTTTTTAATTTTTTGGTTAGTCCTGAGGCTTGAACATTGTGAACAGTATTTAGGGCCTGAATACTGTCCCTGAGCTTTTCTGCTCAAAGTTAGGATTCTACCACTTTGAGCCACAGCTCCACTGCCAGTTTCCTGGTGGTTAATTGAAGATAAAAAGTCTCACAAACTTTCCTGCCCAGGATGGCTTTGAACCTCCATCCTCAGATCTCAGCCTAGTAAGCAGCTAGGATTAAAGGTGTAAGCCACCAGCAACAGGCTTTGGCTGATTTTTAAAAGTAGCTGGAATAACAAAGAAAACTAGAATACCCTAAAACAAATCAAATAAATCATAAATCTCAGATTGCCAATGGATAATAAAACATTTTTTCCCTTTAAGATACTTCTTTCCCTTGGGACAAGGAAATCTATTTTTATTCTCATTGATAGAGGATTAAGACATACTTGGCCATTTCTATGTTGCTTTGTATGTCCTCCCCCCCCCCCAGTATAACCAATACTTTCACTGTATTTGATATTGGTATAATTTGTGGAGGGGAAGGGAAAAAAACAAATCGTTTAACTAGGGATACAGTGGACCCACTGCAACAATGAGATGTACAAGTCTTTATGTCGAAAAACGAACTTAACAACTTTGGTGGGGGGCTGGGGGAGGATCGGGTGGGGGGAGGGGAGGAGTATGGGAAGGGATGGGAAAGGGAAACAATGAGGAGGCAACAATGCTTGATAAGAAATGTACTCGT